ACATAGTGGAAATGAGGACATTAAGATAGACACGTGGTTGTGTTAAAATGGATAATAACACGAGAATATATTTCAACAAGTAGAATTAGTGTTGACAGAGTATAAGTTAAGGATGACATACTTGGTTGAAAAAGTTTTGTGTGGATCTAAAGACGCTCTCCTTCGTAAGAGTGAGGCAATCTCGGTAGAACATGTCAAAAGTAGGAGAGAGACTCCAATACATAAGACGTAGTGTAGTTATCAAGACTACTGTTTTTCTATAGCCAGTAGATCTAACAATGAACCAGCTAAGATAGATTCAAGTAGCCAGTGATTCTAAATTTATTGGGATTAAGGATTAGTTTGCTGTTCAGTGTTTCCATTGGAAGATCAAATTATGTTGTTCTCCTGTTAAGTTAATGTTGACCTTTTCTTCTGCCTGCAGGTGGAAAGTCTTGTAGAGAGAATGATCAAATGGCTAAAAGTTGGTGGCTATATATTTTTTAGGGAGTCATGTTTCCATCAATCTGGAGACCACAAGCGAAAGAATAATCCGACCCATTACCGTGAGCCCAGATTCTATACAAAGGTTTCTATCTATTCATCATTTTTTTTGGGCACAACTTTAATGCTTCTTGAGCAGACATATCTGAATGATATTAACTCTGTCTTGAATGTGTCATGTTCTGTATATTAATTTTCACCGAGCTATATACCTAACCATGACAATTCTTTGTCAATTTTTTTACCTGAAATCAATTTGTTAGGAAATGCAGAATAATGAACAAGTGGAACTTGGTGTTACTGTCACTTAGTGGTGGAAAGTCCACGGGATTGTTAGGAAATTTTGTTGACCTCTACTGAAACAGACTTCATTCATTTTTTTGCCAACTTTGTTCTATAACAAATAAGCAGTCCATATTAAAAAAGATAGCTTATATTTACCAATTTCAGCGTAATTATTGCATACGTGTATTTAAAAATTGACTGAGAGTTATTGTAGGAAACATCACCTGTCTGCCAGTTTCTTATAATTATTAATTCTTGCAGTATGCAAAATCTTTTGCTTTAGCTTAACTTTCCTTTTCTCTTGTATTGAACTTTAGGTCTTCAAAGAAAGTCAAGTCTACGACAGTTCTGGAAGTTCATATGAACTAGCCCTTGTTAGTTGCAAATGCATTGGAGCTTATGTAACGAACAAAAAGATCCAGAATCAGGTAACATTTTGCTGGATTCTTTTCACATTTGTTACCATCTTTAGTTATCACTGATTTGAGAAACCATACCATGCATTTACTCTGTTTGGTAGTGCAGATTTGCTGGATATGGCAGAAAGTTAGTTCAGAGGATGACAGGGGATTCCAGCGGTTCCTGGATACTGTCCAGTATAAAAGTAAAGGCATTTTACGCTATGAACGCGTCTTTGGACGAGGGTTTGTGAGCACTGGAGGGATTGGTATGCCACATGAATGAACGTTATCTTGCATCATTATTTTTATGGATTGTGTAGAAGAAAATGTATATACATGTCAGTCCTGCTACCATGTTGAACCACCTGTTGGAGACCGGACTATTTATTTATTGAAATTTAGTCAACCACAATAAGAGCATACATGTACATGTATCTGTAATGGTAGGGGATGATTCTTATTCTTTGCGGATTTTTTATTTTGATCTGCATTTTGTTTTCCCAGATACTACGAGAGAATTCGTCACTAAATTGGATCTCAAACCGGGGCAAAAAGTCCTAGATGTAGGGAGTGGTATTGGAGGTGGTGACTTCTACATGGCTGAAGAGTATGGTGTTCATGTTGTTGGCATCGATCTCTCCATCAATATGATTTCCTTCGCACTTGAACGTGCTATTGGTCTCAAATGTGCTGTCGAATTTGAGGTTGCTGACTGCACAAAGAAAACATATCCTGATGCCACATTTGACGTTATCTATAGTCGCGACACTATTCTTCACATACAAGTAGTTTTCGGCTTCTTTCAATTAGTTTTAAATGTCTCACTTAATTGCTTCGATTTTTTGTTACAATACTCAAACATGTCGCTTTCTTTTCTTCTCCTTTTTTGTTGTTTTAAGGACAAACCTGCTTTATTTAAATCCTTCTACAAGTGGCTGAAGCCTGGAGGCAGAGTCCTTATAAGTGATTACTGTAAAAGCTCTAAATCTCCCTCAATAGACTTTGAACTGTATATTAAACAGAGGGGATATGATCTACATGACATCCAAACTTATGGCCAGGTATACTTTCATATAAATTAACTCCAAACACTCTCCTCCCCAGTATTTTCGTTGTACCTAATCAATCTTATTTCTTTGGGCAACTGTAGATGCTTAGGGATGCTGGATTTGATGAAGTCATTGCTGAGGATCGAACTGATCAGGTTCTTGATGACTAACTATTGAATCACCACAATTAAAAGCATAAACTTTTAAGAGGAGACGTGTTTATTCATTTAACTTTAGTCTTCAACGCACCCCTCAAATTTATGATACGTGCAAAAAATTTTCACTAATGAGTAGTGGCAAGACTAGAACTCGGTACTTTCTAGTACCGTGCTGAACCATTTTGTCTAAAAGTTTAAGTTTTTAGATAATGAATTCTAACACTAACTTCTTTTACATACTAGTTCCACCTATGTATTGCATTTTCTCGTATTTCAGTTCATAAAAGTTCTTGAGAAGGAATTAGCTACCTTGGAGAAGGATAAGGCAGCATTCATCCAGGATTTCTCTGAAGTTAGTGCTTCATAATTGTCTATTATGCAACAGTTATTTCTAATATTGTTCCATTTTTCTCAAATTTATGATTTTCTTGTAATGTGTTATTTACAGGAAGACTATAATGAAATAGTTGGAGGTTGGAAGTCTAAGCTGATTAGAAGTTCCTCTGGTGAGCAGAGGTGGGGTTTGTTCATTGCTCACAAAAAATGATATATTTTGGGAATTCTTAATGTCCTCATTGTGGTTTATGTAATTGAATGGGGATGAATTATTGAACTTTTTGTATAATAAAGTTGGAGTTGGACCATTTGGCTATGTAATAAAAGTTAATATTAGCTTTGTGTATCATGTGATTGTTGAAAGGCTTTCGTTTTCTTTTTCCATAAATGTGACATTGCAAATACCAATTGGTGAAAAGCATTTTATTCTCATATTTCTACATAGGTTATTAATCAATCACATTTCATTCTCATGTGCGTAAACTTGTTATAAATTGACACGATCAAATTGAAACTGATATTCCTTACTTTTGAAGTGGCATTTGCCGAAAGTCGAACCAAAGTCTCGAACTTTCATCCCATATAATTCAAGCAAAAAATTATAATACTTAAGCTACTTTGATCAATTCATACGAATGTTATATAGATTGCAACGAACAAATCATTTCAACTTGTTCTTATTCTTTAATACTATTCCTACTGCTACGTATAATTAGTACGGAATTATTTGGGTTATCAGCGTATATCCCAAAAAGAAAAAGGGCATTTATAGAGATTTCTATTCTTTTTTTCGTAGATAAATATTCGAATAAGGAATTGTAGGAATGTGAAGATGCACGTGCCACGCCTAAAGAAATGTGCGGAGTTTGTGTGCATGTGCGCGTGTGAGGGACCAAATAACGACACGACATGATGAAGATGAACCCACAAACATCTGTCTCCTAAACGGCCGACCCAACGAATGTATTATAGTTCAAATCTCTCTAAACATGCACTCATCTAGTAAATGACAATAATGTCCCTGTCTGCCTTCTTCCCCTTTTTGCACATTTCTTTGGCTCGGTTTGTAATGTAGATTGTTGGTGAGTAAATAAATAGAGAGTGTTTTCGAGAATTTTTTTGAAAAAATAAGTCATTGGTGATAAGTAATACTTCTCTCCTGATGATTCATGTATGTAATTAGTACATAAGTCATTTGCTTCTTATATATAACTAGAGACTTAAATAAAGGATAACTCAAGACTTTAAGACTTTCGTCAAGGACAATTCAAGTCGAGTTATCAGTGTGAAATAGAGTGCTGTCTCCAAACTCCGCCCTTGTATATGGGATCCCTTTCTATGTACGAGTTGGAGGGTCACCATCAAGTCCAATTCGACATATTCCGCACAAGAAATGATGCCACTATCTTGTTGGTTGCAAGAGCACGTTCTATCGTCAAAGTCCAAATCGTCATATCCCGCTCAAGAAATGATGCCACTATCTTCTAGTTCAATCATGTCACCCTCCTCATGATCGAATAAATATTTTGTACATTTGATTGGTATTTTTTTTGTAAGTTACTATTATTTTTATTATTTTGATTTTGAATGGCTACCATCTGTGCCTAACTAATGTTTGCAATGTTATCGATAAATTATCTATAAAATTGATGCGTAGATATATGAATGAAAGTTAGTCGTCTATGTAGTGCGAGGTATTTGACTCAATTACCAACAAAAACATCAACAATTAAATAAAATTGTCGACATACTCGATTACCAGCAAAAATTTCCATTTCTCACATGATATACTTTTGTAGTGGTAGTTAAAATCCCAATTTTTGATAACCATACATCAAGTAGAATTTCAATTTTGATATAACCAACGATTACAATCCGTTTCAAGTTCAAATTACTAAAATGTAACCATGTGTGAGTTCAGTAGCGAGAATTGTATAAGGCAGTGCTAGAATTAAGAATGCCCTCAAAAATTGTCAAGATTCGAATAATTAAAAAAGTGATAAAAAAAAATTGCCATTTATTGTATCTAGTTTTATGCAATACAATGTAGCCCACGTAACAAGACTTTTATCTGGATAGGGTGCAGAATGGATAGGCATCTAGCTAGTTTTTCATAAAAACAATCGTGGAGCAAAGGAAAGTTTTTGCAGAATAAATTACTGACAAACGCATGCCTATTGAATGGTGACCATATTTTCAATCGGTTGGATTCGAGTGGGATTCTTGAATAGCGATGTGATGCATGCTTGCCTGAGCAGCACCAACATATTGTCTCCAAAATAATCGAGTGGGATTCTTGAATAGCGAATATCATATTTCTTTTCTGAAAATTCACTACAAAGTACCAAATAGATTTTACAATATTACTAGACAGAGAAGACAAATTAACAGAAAGGGGCCAATGAATTCCGTTTCTTCTCTTTGTTTGGCGATCCCAACTTCATATGTTTGATGCTCTAATCTTCTACTGCCCTTCTCATAGTCCCAACAAAATATAGTAGACGAGTGTTATCGGCAAAGCAACTAACATTCCAAATATAACCCTGTTATTAAAATCGATGTGTCACACATTTAACACGAAAAATGAGAGTTAACAAGTTTATTCTTAAAATTAACTTACCCAGTACTAAGAATGTCCGGGTGCACATTGTACTCCTTGGCAAAGACGAAGGGGACAATTCCTTGCGGTAGAGCTGCCTGTTTATTTGTTTGGCACGTCAAAGAACAATAGACATGTTAAAAACATGTTTGGAAAAGTGCTATGAATTTTTTGAAAGGAATGAAACCTGAACAATGGCTATGCGCAGGAGAACGCCACGGAGGCCAACAGCAATGGAAGCAGCAGCCATAACAGCTGGACCAGTAAGGAATCTAACGGCCATGGAAAAAGCTGCTACGGAGTTTCCACATGCTATGATCCTCGGTTGCAATGCCATGAAAAGACCTGTCATGTCAATTTTCATCATCGCTAATAATGAAATCGTCCACCCAACACATCCCTTTCTGTCAGTCACCACCACACCAGACATTTTCAAACATCTTTCATTATCACCCCCACTTTTAGCCTACTTCTGCGTTTTTATTTTCTTGTCTTAAATATTACTTTTTAAGAAAAACTAACGAATAATTGATAAATAAATAGTACTTATAGATTTTACAAATGTAAAATTGAAGGAGAATAATAAAAACACACAAACCGAGGCTTAGTTCCCCTTCATCATCTCTGAGCAAATTGATAAACTGTTTGATTTAGATAAAAAAAACATATTTTCAGTAAATTTTTGATAATAGTTGAAGGAATGTATGATTGAAAAATTAGAATCCCATGAAATGTGTGTTTAATTTAATTGTTGATTTTGACTTATATTTTAATTTTGTAGCTGAATCAACGTATGAATAAAAAGTATGTTTGAACGACTTAAATTACAATTTAAGTTTTATCAATCATGTACTTAGGCCCCGTTTGTTTTTCATTTTTGAAAGAATGAGAATGAAAAATATAGTCGTTACGGGATTCACATAAGAGATAGAAAGTGAAATATGGTGACATGATATGATGAATAACGGTCACATTTTTTATTTTTGTGGCCAAAAAATATGAATCAGACGGGGGCTTAATCTTTAAGTCACTAAATGGGCTTAAGCTTCGTTAAATTGTTATGTGACAATAGGAAAAAATGTCCTACTTCAAAATTTCTAAGGAATTGTCCAATTTTAGAAAACGAAATCTTATTTCTTAAGTTGGGCATGTGATGGTCATATGACAATTTAGAAGAAATTTGAAAGGTTTTGGTTACTAGAGAGATTGATTATGCAATTGCAATAAGGAGAGGATCAGTTGTGCAACTATCTCATTTTTACCTGTGTTCATGCATATATTTGTACACATAAATACCATTGACAGAAGGAAAGATGAATAAAGAAAGAAACATGTTATGATGACCATACTGTTGGTTTCCTTTGCTTTTAGCATGCTCTTTTATTTGACACCAATTTAATAATCTAAAGTTAGATTTAATGATTATATTAAACAGAGAATGTTTTTAATGGAGTACTCACCAAGACTAAACATGGCCATGCCAAGTCCTGCATCAGACAGTATAGAAATGGACTTTGCTATTATAGCAGGCATTTCAACATGCCACCTGCAAACAAAAATTAAGAACATCCCACAAGACCATTAGCCAAGAAAATCTTCATTAAAACTCGTCTAAAAACTTAAATTGTTAAAAAAAAAAAGTCGAGATTTGTAAAAAAATGTGGTAATGGGATGGACCTGAATGAAATGAGGGACCATGTGAGGCCAATTAAACTTGAATAAGTATTGGGATTTCTGATGAGTTTCCTCCAGACCATAATCAGAATTAGCCTTGTCATTACACTTGTGGGGGGCATGACTTTCACTTTGTTGCTATCTCCAGATTTACCACCTTCAGGATTGTTAACATCCCTATTTCCAAAGCTGAATTCATCTCTCCCCAAGTATTCTTCTTGACTATAATCTCTTTGACCCTCAACTGAAAATAAAAAATACGAGCCGATTATTAAAAAATAAAAATTGGCATTGGAAGCAAGAAAACCCAATAAGGATTCTACCTTTGCCAGGAGATACAGGAACTCTAACTTCTTTAGCATTAGTAATTTGGTCTAATGCTCCATAATCATGGCCACCAAAAACATCTGAAACTGGAGAGGCACTTGAGCTCCAAACAAACATATGAAGATCCTTACCACCTTCTTGCTGTCCATTAGGTTTCTTGCCTCCATTTGCTCCAACGGGTTTTGACCCGTTGTTAGGCGAAAACATACCTGGGTTTGGAGCTGGATACTGTGTATTTCCATGGTAAAATCTTGACTTATTAGCATTATTCCCAGTTTCCTCCTCATAATTTGAAGGTCTTGGAGTTGGCCCTCTTGAAGATGGAAGTCCATAAACATCATTTGCACCAAAGTTTGAGTTCCGGGCACCTCCCATCATGGAGTAAAAATCTGTATGATTGAAACTGGAGCCTCTTGGAGTTGGGTTTCTTGAAGATTGCAAAGAGTAAATTTCTGCATTGGTTAAATTTGATGGTCTTGGAGTGTTTGATGAATAGCCCACTGATCTTCTTGGGAAAATATCTGATCTTGATGCATTTGATTTTCGTACAGTAACATGAAGCTTCCCATCTTCTTTAACTTCTGCCTCAGTCTCCAAAGGCTGCCTACCATCCAATGACATGATATCAGAATCAACATGGATTGAGACTATTGAGCCAGCAGTATCTGGGAACTGCTCAGATATAAGCAATTTTGCACCTCTGTATTCAAACATGAAGAGCATCAAAGTATACCAAATAATGCACTGAAGTACAACTATTTGAACCATTAAACTCCCGGAATCCTCCCCATACATTCCCTTCAACAGAGGGATACCCATAACAAGAGTGTTTGGCAAAGTGGATAGGGAAAAAAGTGTAATAGTCCATTCCAAACAACCCCTTTTGCTAACATTAGCCCATACAGCTAAAACTGCAAGAACAATGAGTTTTTGGAGTGTGTCTGCAGCAATGAACCTAAAGTTCATTTCATAAGGATTGTTCATTGCAATGAAATGAAACGAAAGAAGAGGGACTGCAAAAAGTGCAACAAAACGGTTGATTCCTGAACATTGATCTGGAGTGAAAATCTTCCACCACTTGACAGAACCGTAGGCTAATATCATAGCTACATACAGTGGAACCACTGCAGTCATTACATGATAGAAATCTGATAAGGTTATCATTTTTTCTGATTTCTCGAGCTGCCCAGATAGACAAAGGATAAAACAAACAAAATTAGCTGATCAAAACCTAATGAAATTTGAACAAAAGAAAAAGGTTCTGAAGATTGATATGTATAAGGAAATGGAGGAGGAAAAGAACATACGTATTGGTTTATGGGGTTGTGAGTGGTTGAGTTGTATGCATATTCAGAAAGGCAGAAATAGTATATATTTTTTGGCTATACAGATACAGAATGCTGCTTTGAGAGTCGCGAGCAAACTTGCACTTGCAGTCCCCGAAGCAAAGAGGTAGGAGTGGCGTGAGTGGGCTTTGTTTTCAGCTCTGTTTGGATTTGAAAGAATTAGAGAGAGAGTTTTTACTTATAATTAGAAATAAATTGCTGGAATTTGGTAAATGGCTCATTCTTCCATGGATGACTGGTTTGTCTAAAGTTAAGGGAAAAGCAATATGGTATGAGGTAAAGAGTTATGGAGTAATTGTTTGGAGACCTTTTTAAGGCGATGGATTCTTTTTGCATAAACTTTCTTGGATTCGCTTTTTCGCTCGTGGGCTGTTGATGGGCTTGTATTGTATGGATCATTATTCTTAGTGAAAATTACACGTCTTACCCAATTTTATGGAAAGACCAAATAATTCATAGTTTTAAAGATCACATTTTATAAATAACAAACTCAATCAAATATTTCAAAAATCAGGTGGTAAATGAATTTATTAAATATTAAATTATAATTTAATATTCATTAATTATTTCCATCCATGCCATCTACCTCATCCTATCACCCCATTACACCACATTTCCTCCACCACTCCACCAGAGATGGCTATCATCTCCGACGACCACTCTAACAAAGGCTCCAACGATCACTTCAGTGGCCGCTCCGGCAACTATTCCGACGATCACCCCAGCAAACTGCTTCGACGACCACTCCAGCAAACTGCTCCAATGACCACTCCGACGCCTACCCCAATAACTATTCCAGGCACTGCTCCGACTCGCCAATAGAGAAATCTCCAAAATTTTAAAACAATTTCTTTCTCTACACCACACTGTTGAAAAAATCTCCAAAAACTGTGGTGGTAGCAATGGTGCGTTGTAAGTTATTAGATTTGCACCTGTGACATCTATGACCATACCTGTGTCATATGTGACTAATTGTGACCAAATTTGTATTTAGTGTGCTATCTGTGACTAAGCCAATCTTAAGTCACAACTGATCACAATCAATACAAAATTGGTCGCAACTGATCACATTCAATACAAAATTGGTCACAAACAATCACAATAAATACATACCACATACATGTGATTAATTGTGATCAATTTTACCTTCGATGTGACTAACTGTGATCAAAATTATATTCAGAGTGACTATCTATGACCAAATCAATATCAAGTCACAACTCACCATCACCACCAAAGAACAACAGATCAGAAAATCATTGCACCCCCAACACCACCATGAGCACCACTGTATCTATACCACTGTCTCCCACAATTACCACCACCACAACACTCGAAAAATCGCCACAGCACCACTGCACAAAGCACTCACAGCACACCACCACCACCTCCTCTATCTCCAGCTACACCACACCACCACCGACAAGACACCACCAAAAAAATCCATAAACCCGTTGCCGCCACCACAGCACACTACCACCCTCAAAAACTATAACAAAAAATGCAGCAAAATCACCACAAAACCACAGAAAATCACCGCAAAATCACCAAAGAAGCTTTTGCCGGGGATTGCAACGCAACAAGAACCTCCACAGCAACGGATCGAAGGAAATTTCAGATCAGCTAAGCCCATGGATGTTGAGTAAGTGTGATGGTTGGGGGTGAGATGGCCGAGTGGGTATAGCGAGCACCACTGAGCCCTTGGACGTTGCTTCGTCGCGTGCAGTGGATACGGCCGACGATAGTGTCAAGCCAGAGGTGCATCGACTGGGTCCAACATTAGAGGAGCATCGAACGCCTCACAGCGCATTGCAACAACGTATAATCCAATATAGAAAGATAATTCCAAAAATACTAACACATTTTTTTTTTAATTCCTAGAATACTAAATCTAGTAACATAAATTTTCAAAATTACTAAATAACCCAATTACATAAATATAGGTAACCTATTGCAATCGAGAAACATATTTATCTCCAAGTCACTAAGGAGAGTGTCCTCAATTGAGATTATGATGAATTTTAAAAGTCATTCTAAATTTAGATATCTTTAATTGAAATTTTATTGAATTTTAATAAAATTCATTAAAATTTATGTATCCCCAATTGAGATTTTAATGAAATCCCTTAAAATTTAGGTATCTCAATAGCTAATGGATTTATAAATATTTCATTAATAGAAGGATTTTAAAAGATTTGATGGATTTCAAGTTTAAAACTACGTATAAGCATTTTTTTTTTAATTTCACCATATTTGATGAGATTTTTATGGAATTTGTAAGAATCTATTCAAATCCACAAAATTCATTAGAATTTATAATCTTCTAAAATTCATTAAAATTTTAGTTGAGAACACCCTCGTAAATAGCTCCTAAATTTAGGGGTATAGAATATATAATAATATGAAAATAAACATTATATTGTGCACTTATCAATAGTATATTTAAAAATGTTAAAACATTACGAGTTATATAATATCCACACAACGTCTTACTAAGTATTGCCTTACATTTCGAAAAATAAATAAATAAATGAATAAATTAACGTAAGACTATAAATTGCCAAACATGAATTTTCACTATTTAGTAATATGAAGTGATTGGAAATAGAAATTTCAAAATAATGAAAAAAGGATTTTGGAATTATACCTACAAATACACGCAGGTGTTATTTAATAATCCAATTGTTTGTATAATAAATCCCTAAATTTAGGAGCTATTTAATGACTTGAACATAAATAGGTATCTTGATTGCAATCGGTGCATTTTATATTCTAGTGACATGTTTACAATGCATTTTATATATAGTTATTTAGGTAAAATGTTAATTGAAAAACTTTCGATATATTGATGTTTAATGAATAGACATTCAAACTCAAAATTGATTTGCATTGACATTTATACGACACATCAATAATATTATCTATCTTTTATTTTCTTAAATTTAACAATATGCATAAAATTATAAATTGCATGTCACATAATTTTCGTTGAGTCTGCATCATAGCTTCTGGCATCGAGATTAACACTAGAAAATGCTCATTTTTTTTCTTTTTTGAAATGAATTTTTTTTAAAACATTATCTATTTCACTTACATGACAAATTTTTCAGAGATGCACTTGGTCCTAAAAGTAAGTTGGTCTCTAATCTCTAAAAAAAAAAATTAACAAATTTGTTCTTATAAATTATTTTATTGACACGATTAGTATCAAACAATGAAATAAAAATTTCACATGTAGCTAGTATGTTGAATTTTACAGAGTTAGAGTTTACTTTTCAAGTTAGACTCGTCGTTGAAAATTTTTAATGAAGCACGTTTACATCTAATAAAATTTAACAAAATTTTAGGCAATTTTCGCTAGTAATAACTTATTATACAACTTCAGTAAAAGGTGGGGATAAAATGGGAAGTGTTACATACACGTATATAATTGTTTACATGATGGTATTCATAATTACACGTGGTACTGGATTCAACCTTTAATTCAAATCTCAAACTTGAACATCATTAATCGGATGATTGCCACATCGCATTATGGACACAATTATGTGCAATAATTATGTACATGTAGACTTTTTTGGATAAAATTGCTTCTTTTTAAAGTTTGAAACTAAATTATTATGAGGGTAAAAATTTGAAGAACGAATAGTAAAGTTTTACCTAACTTTTATCTATTTCTCACTTTTTGCTTTTCCTTTTGCATTACCTTCACCCGCGTTGTTTATTTATTTATTTATTTTCCCTCATCATTGCAATGCTCTACAAAACCAAAAATAAAATTTCAAATATTTCAATATAAAATCAATAATGTTCCATAAATAATTATCAAACTATTGTGTTACAATATTTAAAAAATTATTAGAATTAAAATTTGCTGATTTTTTTTTTATTTACTAAAATACAGTTCAACAAACACTTTGCGAGAATATTCTCAGTTTATAACATAATTTCATATATATATATAATAGATTCTAAAAGTACTTTTTAAAGACAATAAGGGTCCGTTTGATAGGGATTTTGAAAATTGATTTTTTGACCGTTAGAAGAAAAGTGGGGTCCACATGTAAGAGAAGAAGTCAAAAATTACGGTTTGAATAATAAAATAACGGTCAAAAAATCAATTTTTTGAGACAAAAAATCCCTACCAAACAAGGCCTAATTTGCAAGCCAATTTACTGTATCACTGAATAAGATCTATTACATACATCAAACCTAATTTCACTGAAAACTAGGTGGGAATAATATTCATTATTGTGTTATTTCTTAGTTGCTTGATATATTAATATTCCTCATGAGTAATTTTTTGGCAATATAAAATTTATAACAAAATTATAAGTTGATGAATAAATATATATATGGAAAAACATGAATTAAATATTTTCAGATATAATTTAGAGAAAATCGTACGAATCCTCCTGTGTTATTAACTACCAAAGACAATTCCAAGTGGAAAATAAAGTAGAAATTATGACGATTGTAGTCTTGAAACAATTTGATTAATCGTGTATCATACACCTGTTTAATTTGTACATCAAAGCATGCAGATCCTCAGTAACAAGTAATGATATGATTTTATCTATGGCATGTTGGTAGCTAGGATTCTAGTAAAAAATATTAATATGTAAGAAAAATAAGTTGACTTTTATATATTGATTAAGGGATATGTAATTTTTCCTTAGCATGTTTATAATCATTTGAGTACACCAATTTGTATCCATGCATTTTTTATGACTCACAAGTACAAACTATTTATCCAATTTAAACAGTTTCTCATACATGGTTATGCGAGCCATTCAAGTTGTGATGCTATAGGACATTGTTTGGCAAAAATTATCTTTTGTTTTTGCTTATTGTAATAAAGTTTTCTGAGGAAATTATCTTGAGCCAACTTCTTCTAAAAGTTCTTCTAGTCAGACAAAATATTTTCGGGAAATTATTCTAACATATTCAAAAAAAAATTTATTAATTTCAAAAGCAACTTTTTATTTTTCAAAAGCCGTGCCAAATAGACCCTAATTCTATAATAGATCTTGAGGTTCTTTCTCTTTCAAGTACAAAATCTTATATATTGACTATTATTTTTATATTTAAAGATGTAAATTTCACCCTTTATAATTTGATACAATGAACTGATAAAAAAATGTAGATAAATTTTGTTCAATTTAATGTATAAATCCGATTGTGTTTTGACACATGAAAAGTCTTCGTTTAAAAATATTACTACTCGATAACAATAAATTTTATTTTAAATATCACTTTTCTTCATTCTTATCTAATTCTAATTCCAACGTATCACCATCAACTCTTCTTGTTTCAATGAATACTTTAAGTAAGATAATTTTGTTAATTATTTTTCAAGTACCAAAGAACATGAAAAAGCCCGATTGGCGGCTAAAAAATGGCACATTGGAGGAAGATAATCTTCATATATATATATCTGATGACATAACATACAATTTAATTGGTGAATCTTTAAATACATAAGATCTATCATTAACTTATTCACCAATTAAATATCGTGTATTTAATGATTCACCAATTAAATAGTCTGTCATGTCACCCGTGCTTATATGGTGAACAATTATCATTAATTAAAAGTGACAATTAAAAATTCCACACAAGCATGCGTTGAAATTAATGATTAAAGTTGCAATTAATGCATAGAATCAATACGAGGCAAAGATTGGCGTGTCAGATTCATATGTTCCTTCGAGTAACAAGCGTCCAAACAAAATGCTTAAACTATACAATTAAAAATAGAATTGCGATATAAACGGTTATGGTTTTAATGGGTAGGCAAATGACACGTAGACAATCGTAGATATAATTTATAAAAATAGCAATTCATATGCTCTTAATCTCAGTAGATACATTCTATCGATTTTTCTGTTAAAGTAACAAATACATGACATGGTGATTACATATCGGATTCTTTTAAAGTTGTCAACTTTCGAACACAACGTTCAAATTGCACAAATAGCTATAGAATTGAGACACGAATGTAAGTTATGATTTTTATTAAGGAAAATTGTAACGTCAGTTCAAATCGACAGACCTAAACCTATTTTTTAAGTCGGAAATGTCCCCAGCCTAGAAGTGTTGTGATGCCCTTGCCCCTTAGTCTTGTTAGATAAATTCTGCATGTGCAAGACACGTGAGTCAAAGATTGGCGTATTATCGTCATGGTTCCCTTGGAGTTGTAAATCTCCAAACACTATGTTTACACTGCACAAATAGCAATGGAATTGATTAGGGTTTCAAAGAGTATAAAAGGGCATGCATTTCATTACTTCAATAAAAACTTTTGTCCCTTTCTTATACCCAATCTTTTTAAAATTCTGCTTCTTCACTTAATAATATTTTTTGTCTAAAAATTGCGTGTACTTTGATATAAAATGAAAAGAATTATTAGGATCCCTTTTCCTTATTATTATTCTTTTTATAATCATGTAAAACAAGAAAAGTTGGATTATATTACTTGTACATAAAAATTGTGCATAAAAGATTACATAAAATGATGTGGAGAGATAAATTTGGATGAAAAAGATGACTGAGTTTTGAACTGGCAAATGATGGAGTGACGTGTGGCATTATGTGATCCATTATATAAAATTTGATGTACATGTCGCAAAGTCTAGAAAAGTTTAACCTTCAAATGTACAAATTTTTTGGCACAACTAATTGAAACCCCTGGCTATATTGTTTTTTTTTTTTTTTTTCAGATAAATAGAATTATCTAACTTCATTTTTCTCTCTTGCCATTGGAATTATTTTGCCGATCTATGTAATAAGGGATGTAATTTGAACATTGGAAATTTATGAAACTGGACTATAGATAGCATTCAAAGACATGAGCACTTTAATCCGCAGAGAATGAAATTGAAATGTGGTGCAACTAATAAAAATTGTGGTATGAATATAATTGTCTTAGACTTATATTTTACAGTTTTGCAAGGCTATAAATGACAAATGTCCTAATGAGGATGGGGTTATTCTATGCGCACATAAAGGGGGACATAAGGGTGATCAAAATGGATACTCGACGCCCCCTATTGGACGGGCGCCTATTATGTAAGGGGTTATGTACCCCTAGAATAATTCTTGAGGATGTTGAGTGAATATGCGGTTCTACTAAAGTGCACATGGTGAAAAGTGAGAATATTCGTGAAGCAAAATTAGAACTAATTGAATAGAAAGAACAACTTAGATTATGCGGTTGCGTCATATTTTGAATCAACGTAAAGAAACCCTATTGATTATAAAATTGACATGATTTTGATAGAACAAATTCTTAAAGAGATATGCCAATAAATCTTGCAATAACTTGAGTGCTAATGATGAAAAGAGATCTCAACTATTGAGAATTTAGCCAGTAGAGTTGTGTCTTTTTCGATTATCTCACACTAGTGTCCAAGTAAAGATATGAATCAAAGTGTTAAAAGTTTCTCATAACTTCTCTTTTCATTTTGAACGCAATATGTAGTTATTATATATTATACAGCAAATTATCAGTTGGGCATTTTGAAACCTCAGTAGTATATCTTCTGAGGGTTCAAACACTGAAATGAAATACAAGGATCATTCGCTTTATTGTTGTAATCACAAAAAAACATATGCCAATCTACACATCTTGCATAGATAGGCAGAGAAAAAGAAGGTAGATTCTTCAAATTATCACTCAGTATTCGAAACTAAAACTGGGATCATAAGTTACGTGCACAATACTGTCGCGCTCTAAAGACCTTTCGCTCCTGGAAGGTCGATCCATTGAAGTTGGAGTTCGACCTCGCCACTTTCAACATTTCTCAGTCGCAAAATCATGTCTTGTATCACCTTACCGTCCTTCCAGATCACACAACTCTCTTCGGACAGGCAATTTGATCTGCACGGTTGGTCTCTTGTAATTACTGTACCACTTGGGAGGCCATCTAGTTTGATCCTCAATGCTTCCATGAATGGTTTAATATCGAACTCTGCATCTCCCATTTTGTCATCCATGCTGAATGTGTCGTGATCGTACACTGTCTGAAATCATACACAGGAAGGGACAACTTCGTACTATCAGAAATATCAACACATTATGTCATTTGGACCATTCTACTATATATTCATTTACAGTACTATAGTTGTGTATGCAAATAGTTTTAACAGAATATGCTCATGGTAATCAGAAAGTGGATCTCACCAGCTTGATTGGAATATTTGGATCGGCAACAGAAAGTGTCAAATCTTCATTCCATACAGGATTGATATCCTTCTTAATAACACGAGTCTTCAACTTCTGCATAGAATGTCAACATATATCGTTCCGAAAATTCGAGTAGAAAATATTGAAATAAAACGCACAAGTAACCTGTTAACGCTTCGATTTGTCAAAATTTATAATTGTCAAACTTTCATTTTCAACCATAAATTCCAATGACGAACCAAGTAGCTCAAACCTCTGTATTTTATTGCAATGGCGTTTTGAGCATCCATCTTGAAGAGTTACTACTTCAAATACAAATTTGAGAGGCGCCTCTTCATCAAGAAACGCCACTTTATTGATGAAGAGAAACAATAATAAATTTTTATGATTCTCTTGCATCAAATGGTAAGTCGTTGATTTTTCTCATTCGAACCACTACCTCAAAGAGACAAACTCCAAGAGTATGACAATGAGGCAAGACTTGACCTACTTAAAGGAGTATTAAATCTCAATAATCTCATATCTTTCATAACTTTTAAAATTCAATATTCGAACCCAATAAATATATTAGCTAAAATAAAGGTCAATCATCATTATGAAATGTTCGTTTGCCAGAATTTAGATCTTGTTTGACTATGACATGTATTCAAAAACAGTAATTTTGAAGTTAATTTTAAACACGGCTATACAAGTTCAAAAGACTCTAGTTTTATAATTCTTTCTATAACTTAACCCCCACACACTTAAGAAATCAACCAACTCCAAGATTAATATCTCCACGAGCGTTATGTGATAATCTAACGAAGATTACGACTATTTAAATTTCCCAAAAAAAAAACACACACACACACACGCACACGATATATATATATATATATATATATAGGCGCTAGCTAGCCCCGCTTGAGCTCTCTGGTGCAAAAGGTTACAGAAACAATGCACTTGAGCATGGCCCACGCAGCGCCTGAGCACCGCGTCTGCAGCAAGCGACATGTGGTGCTCGCTTCCTGCGAGGCCGTCACTCGAGCGGCAATTTCATCCTACCTAGATTTGTTTTCTTTATTCCCCCGGATTTTTTGATACTTTTTGTTAAAGTTTGACATGCATCCTATATATAGTGGACTCTTCATTACAAGTTAGAGAATATTATAATCACAAAATCATTATATTCTGTCACCATATTTGAGTGGAACCTCCCCCTCTGCCAATTTCTCGCGGTATTGGGTTGTGACTGCTACGCCTATTTCAAACAACATTAAACAAAGGATGCATGGACAGACCTGTTTACCCATTTTGACAACAACGTAAGGATCGCTTGTAACGACATCACGAACGGCGAGATTTACTCCTCTCTTAATCCGAACTCTGAGAAGTCCCAACATCTGATCCATCAGAGATTTTGCTGCTGGCGATTTTCCACTTGCAGGGGAAATAGGAGAATTCATTTTATCTTCTAATCGATTTTCCCTTTTTAATTTTAATAAATTTAATATTCTACCAACTAGTGATCACTTCCAATCTATTTTGAATGTTATAAAAAAATATCCTTTCGTCCAAGTCAATATTTTCTTGATCCTCTCTGCAAAAACATTAATAAAAACAAAGAAACTATGTTATAATCAGATAACATGGGACAGAAAAGGTTTTTATAATTTTTCAGATACGTACCCTTTGTGGATGCAATAGTAATAATATTATCATCAAAATTTCTATTGAAAAATAAAATGGAGAGGGAAGAGAGTGTTATTTTAGTTTTTCTCTCTCTTGTTTGTGGGGAAGAGAGAGAGATTAGGAGAACACAATAAAAAAATACACAAGAAAACAATGGGAAATAAGTTGAGGATTTTGTGAATTATAAGGTACGCAGGTTTGTAGCCAGGCAGTTTATGAATGGTTGGATGGTATTATTGAAATGTGCCTGAGTCTACTTGTTTTTGGGCATTGACTGGGAGAGAACTGTGGCGTGGAAGACGCGTTTTCTGGTGTGTTTGAAGTAGGGTCCCAATCTTTTCTCATTGAGATAATGGGGTTCCAACCTTTTATTTGTAGCACGTTTGATCGGGTGTAATGAAATTAGGTCCGTGACAACGTAGACCCTTCAATTATGAAAACTGTGTGCTTTACATCCCTAATCATCGAAACAATAATCTATGTCGCCCACCATCACCAGCCACCAATCCGGCCCAAACCAACTGTTTATAGTCCCCACTTCCTCACTGATACAAGCAGCTTTTTCCCACCCTTCTTTACTCCACAATACTCGCCCCGGTCTTTCCTTGCGCAAGTTCCAATTGAATAATAAAGACGAGAATCGCTTACATTAAAGTTTAAGATACCTAAACATGCTTGTGTTCGTTTTGTTTTATTTTAATTTTTCTATTTTAATTTTCTTTTATTTTTTATATTACTCAAACTTACGATGTAATGGTTTTTAAAATAAATCTTGACTCTTTAACAACTAAGTTCGCGGTATCTATAAGATAGTAGGATGTTAATGGGCACGGACTCCCACTTGAACATGGACACGCGTTGAGCTTAAAGATTCTTGTGCTCTGGCTCCGTAGGCTAGACTAGCGAGCTCGTTAATAGCTTGCTATAGTGAGCTTTTCAATCATGCTATAAATACAAAAAATTGTAACAACAAACTTTGATAGGCAACACGTTGCGGGAATTGATTGGAAAATGGAAAGAGAAAACAAAATATTCCAATCATCTCCTGCGATGTCAATGTCGGTAAGAATTCTACCTAGAATTTCTTGTACTCATGGCTTTTTCCGTGAACTTTATGAGTTAGTTTACTCGTGAAAAGATACAATTCAAATCATAATTAGATTTTATCAATAAAATAGATAATTAAAATATTTTATTAATTAAATATATAAAAGTCACAATATTATACAATTTATGGTCACAATCACAGATTGTCACACTTACAGATTACAAATTTTATAAATCACAACTTATTTATCGACAAATTATTAAATTAATTAGTCAAAACATCATTTTTCTGTAACGAATCACAAATTTTATAAGTCACAATTTATTTATCGATTACAAATTTTCAAATTAATAGGTCACTTATTACATCTCTATCGCAAATTGCAAATTTTATAAGTTACAACTTATTTCACAATTACAGATTCCAAATTAATTGATCACAACTTAACATATTGCGAGTCAGGATTACAAATTTAGTTGCAATCTCATATTTATACAAATGGTCAATTTTTATAAATCGCACATTATTTATTGATTACAAATTAACCTATTTATAGGTCATAATCATCCAAACAGTTGGTCACAAACACTCTTTATCTCTACCCAACCCAACCTCGATCCTACCATAGCCCAACCTAAAATCACTATGACACCAATCAAACATTGCACCACTACCACCATTTGGGACCATTTCCAACGCCATCACCATCGCCAGTCCCTATCATCGTTGTAGCCAATATCACCACCACCAAAATAAATCATCTCAAAACTCCGACTAAGCAACATATTAGAGGAGAAAAAAGTTGTTACGCCCATAACCAAGCCACTTCCACTTCAGCACTAAAACCACTTCGACATAAGGTCACATCACTCTACGAAGCGCCTCGCACCCACCTGAAGTGGTTCCGAAGCGATGCCAATTCTTGACGACCTCAACATGACGCGCTGCAAGGTGAATAGATCCAATGAAGCAACTGAAGTGTCTCTCAACACCGAAGCGTTGAAGGGCCCGAGGCACTCCCTTAACAGATCCCTCTGCCGCCACTATCAGAAAGATATCTTTCGGGATCTTGTCGTGACGTCTCCATACATCTAGTTGACATGACACATCAACTTTATGTTAACTTAACTTAGAAGAACTAATTGCCCGCCCATGCTAGACGCCTATGAGCAGATGCCTCACACCGTCAGATGCATACACGTGTCCCACATCCAACGGTGCCCTATACCTATAAATGTCTAAGGTTTGGCAAAAGACAGAGGTAATGAAAGTTCTTATAACTTAGCTCTCCATACTAAGAAACATATATTCTTCTCCCCACTCTCTTGCACCACTAGAGCATTGTTCCATCACCCAACGCTGACTTGACCGTCGGAGTGTATACAGCCGCTACCACCACTACTGGTCCCGATCGTGTGCTTCTGACCATGCGTTGTTGTGCGCAAGGAGGATTATGTGGAGTAGCTACCCGTTGGCCACGTGGAGGGTCCAAATATCGAGGTCAACAGATTGGCACCGTCTATGGGAAACTTTTCGTCCAAAAGTACCACATTTTCCATCAAAAAAAGCCACCGACAAACCATTGACTAACCCTAAAAAGGGCACATTCTTGAGAAAAGAATAGTCAATCTACGATCACATCTCTAAACACCCTTGAAAAAGGAGTGGACAAGATGAGTTATAGTAATGAAGATGCAAATTTTGAAGGGCACGGAGATGCCTCTGAAGAAGAGGTAATCAGGACCAATGTCACGCATCGGAGACCCCATCACCGGCGTCACCGAGGCAACAGGACAGCAGCGCTCACTGAAGTAATGACTCAAATAACTGCTGGAATGAGGGACATTGCTGCTCAGAATGTGGCAATGAGTGAATTCTTCATGCAGGCTCGAGGTCATCAAGGTTTCCAGATGCAACAAGAGCCATATCCAACCCAAGAAATCCATGCGCCTCATGGCCGAGGTCATTTAAGTCAGCGCCGAGAACACACCCTTGAAAGAGAAGTGGGTGTTGACTTCACATCATACGCACGGGGGAGCCAACCGGCAGAACTACCGTTAGGAGAGAACTTCGCACCAAAATACGAGTCCTAAAGGTCTGTCAGTGTCTACGACAGAATAGGGCAGAACCCTAGCAATAGGGGCGTGCAAAGATCAATTCAACAAGAGTAGGAACAAGGACAAATACCTCCTCCGCCTATTTTCTAGGCGCGAGAGGAGAAATTTAGTGGATTGGAGTAGTTAGGAAAAGGCACCCCCACCTCCCCAAAACGCATCAGAAGGGGAAGGCTTTGAAGGGTCATGCCGCTCCTACGAAATTGATGACGATGACAACCTCCCCTTCTCCAGAGAAATTTGAAGCTTCCCAATGCTTGCAAACTTCATGCCCCCTAAAATACCGAAGTACGAAGGAAAGGAGGACCCACATAAACACCTAACTAAATACATGACGCAGATGAGCCTCGCCGGCACTGAAATGTAGAGCCTTCCATCTAACCTTCACCGGAGGTACTGAAGTGTGGTACAGCAGAATACCATCCCTGAGCATCAGAAGTTGGCCGGGCTTGAATAATGCATTTCTGAACCAGTACCTCTCACAAAGGGAAGGGGAGGCCCTAGTACAACGCCTGCAAGATATGAGGCAAGCTCCTGACGAGACGCTGAAAAGCTATCTCACCAAATTCACCGATAAAATCACGTACTGTGAGCAAATCACTAACAGGGAGGCCCTTTCAGCCTTGAAAGGTGACCTCAATATGAACACACTGTTCTGGAGGGATGTATGCAGTAATAATCCCACCACCTATGTCGAACTGGTAGAAATGATGAGGGTCGAGATCGTCAATGAAGAGATGATTGACCACCAAAATCGTGCAGCGTAGGGACTCCCTTCGCCTTAGAGACAGGTAGGTCTAGGACCAGCAGCCCACCTCATCACTCAGCAATGAACCTAAGCAGGACACACAATAGCTCCCACGTCCGGACAAGCGCTGGCTTCTGCCACGCTAAATGCAGTGCCAGTGCTAGCATACGAAAATGCTCTTGCTGAAGCAAGACCATCCGGAGGAACAAACAATCGAAAGAAGAAGAAGCGATCAAACAGGCCCCTGGAAAGGACAAGGTTCTGCACCTTTCACCAACTTTACGGACACGACACCAGCGAATGTAGGGATGCTCCTCGATCCTCGAACAGGAGTAATCTGTGTTCCTCAAGAAGGGGTTAATGCACCCACAGGTCCACCTCTCCGAATAAAGAAGAAAGGCGATATAAAGACCAATTACCCCGGAGAAGAGAATCCAGAGATAGAGGAGAACCCAAGCATAGGGACCAGGCCCCATCTGGAGGCCAAGTTATCAGGGAAATTGACATAATCATTGGAGGACCTCACATCGAGGGCAACACCAGGAACGCCCAGAGGAATTACACAAGTGAAGTGAAGGATCCACCAATGATTACTTACATCGTCAACCAGACTCAAGAGGCCAACAGGATGGCCCCAATCACTTTTTCTCAAGAAGATGCACAAGGAGTTCACCACCTTTATTGTGATGCGTTAGTGGTAAAAGCCGTAGTGGCTAGAAATGAACTCAAACGCATGCTCGTCGACAATGGCAGCTCGGTGAATATACGGTTCGGATCCACCTTTGATAAAATATAGATTGAACATGAGTTGATCCCCATGACTGACCTGCCGTTTGAATTTACTGGCGACAGCATCATCCCACGAGGGCGAACAACTCTACCTGTCAAGATGGGGTCAATCCCTATTGGCCCACCACTTCACATAGTGATGGCAATTTGCCCCGACCCATCGGGTCCTCGCCCTGAACGGGGCGAAAAAAACCCGCCCCATAAAAAAAAGGGTATTACACAAACACTTGCCCTAATGAACTGCAGATAGAGCTAAATGAACCGCAGTCAGAAATCCCCACTTCCCCAATCCTCATTTCCCCACAAACAATTGCCCTAATTTTTCCTTTTCCATTTTCCTCGTTCGACTTGTATTTTCAAGTGCACAAGATATATTTTTGGTGGGGAGAAAAAGAGGTATCTTCTATGATTCTATCGATTGATCTTTAAAGATTTCGTCTTGGATACATGATTGGTGGGCTGTTTGCTGGTGTGGGATTTTACATGCCATTTGTTTGATGGTTAAGATTTTATGGCTACATTTATAATATGTTGTGTGGAACTTCATTGATGATTCGTCAATGACTCAAATATTGAATAAACTCCAAAATCTGTGCACACTCCCACTGCCAGTCCGGTCAGTAAGAACCAGTGTTTTCTATTTGCAAATTGTAAGTTATTTAGTTATTTATCATTTACTTTATTTTTATTTTTGTGGGTTGGGATGGTTCGGATGAAGCTTGTAAAGGAAATTAGTGTATTTAAGTAACAGAACTCTATCTAGTTTAGACATCACTCTCAACCTTGCAAACACAATCCAGTTTCTTCTTCATGTTTGCTTGTGTTGAATTTCATTTCTCCCTTGTCACAGTTTCAGATAATTTCATTTGTAGCCTCAATTATGTCTTTTCTTGTGCGGTCATATATTTGAGTTTCTGGGCTAAAGTACATTACAACTCAATCTATCCTCAAGGAGGTAATAATCTATCTTGATTTGATTAGAAGACCTAAAAGACACTATGATAAGAGGAGAGCAAAATGAAATTTTTCCACAAGCAATTTGTGTTTAAAGTTATCCTAACTTCTACAACCAAGGTTTTTTGGCCTGACATTGTGCATTATACTGAACTTACTTATTCACTAATTTATGAAACCCACAAGTTTATGCTAATTCAGAGATTCTGCAATAAATTTTCGAACTGGGGTAATAACTAATTAGTTTTCTGCTTTTATGTCCATCCTAATCAGATTAAATCATATTTTATTATTGTTCAGATATGCCCCCAAGTGAGATTAAGAAGAAGAAAAAGTGGTGGAACTTTCAGAATAAGCATTAGAAGTAATTAATCATTTGAAACTAATACTCAAGAAAGTATTTAGTTTCCATTTCTTTTGACTCTGCATCATCTTCTTTGGCTGATATTAAGTAGATAGACTTCTATAAACATATAATAGAAAGTTAACTTTGCAAGACTAAGAAACATAGGTGTCCATTTTATTTAAGATTGATATCCTTGGCAAGTTAAATATTTTCTAAACCTAGGAATTATTTTTTGTGAAAGATGAAAAATCATTCTTGTTTAGGAAAGACAGCAAATGAGGTTATTTGTGAATCATGACATTATGCTCATTACTATTTGTTATTTGCACAGATGTCTGGCTCAAGTAGTGCTGGAAGTATTGGATTAGGACCAATACGTGAGGAAGATAACCCGACCAATGTAACGGAGAGCAATGTCCCGCAGGAAGGTCCAGTTGAACTGTTACCAAATGCGGATGAAAGGACAATAAACCTAAGTGACGAGGAGCGTGATATTGGAAAAATATCATTTGGAAAGAGGAAATTGACTTAAACTGTGTGGGAGCACTACAAAAGACAGAAGATTGGTGAGAAATGGAAGGCTATATGCAATCATTGCAAGAAACAGTTAGGGGGTGAAACAAAAAATGGTACAAAGCATTTACATGATCATTTGAAGAGATGTGTATTCCGTTATAAGGATAATACTCACCAAGCAACATTAAATTTCAAAAAGGATGCTACGAGTGGCAAGGTCACAATGGGTACTTACTCTTTCGATCCAGATAAGTATAGATATAGTCTTTCGAAAATGGTGATTTTGTATGAGTATCCTTTGTCTATGGTTAATCACATTGGATTTCGAGAGTTCTTCCACGACCTACAACCATTGTTTAAGGTTCCTTCTCGCAACAATTTGAAGAGCGACATTTTGAAAATCTATGAATACGAGAGAGCCAAAAATATGATTGCACTTGAGAAGATCGAGAATAGAATTTCGATCACTACTGACTTGTGAACCTCTTCTAATCAAAAGAGATGATTCATGGTTATCATTGCTCATTTCATAGATAATGCATGGAAATTACAGAGTTGAATCATGAGGTATAGTAAAACATTACATTCACTTGTTCTCATAATTTACCAAAATGATATTCTTTTAGTTGATTTAATTTGTTCTTGAATGAACTCAGGTTTATATATGTGCCATGCCCACACACTGCTGATGTGATTTTAGAAACTCTATTAAGCAGCTTGATGGACTGGAATATTGATCGTAAGTTACTAACTTTGACAGTAGATAATTGCACCACAAATGATGCAATGATCAGCATTGTGTTAACTCAACTTTGTACTCCTCTTGTATTGAATGGTGAATTTTTTCATATGAGGTGTTGTGCACATATATTAAATCTTATTGCGAAGAATGGGTTGGACATTATTAGTGGTAGTGTTGAGAAAATTCGTGATAGTGTTGCTTATTGGACAGCCACGCCAAAGAGATCTGAAAAATTTGAGCTCTTTACACGTCAGTTGAAAATTGATTGTGAGAAAAAATTGGTGCTTGATTGTAAAACAAGGTGGAATTCGACGTATTTGATGCTTAGTACTGCTTTGATTTATAAGGATGTTTTTCCGCGTTTGAAACAGAGGGAGTCACGATATAAATGTTTCCTTAGTGATGGTGATTAAGATTTAGCAAAAGAAATATGTGAGAAGTTAAAGATTTTTTTTGAGGTTACTGAATTATTTTCAGGAACAAAGTATCCAACTGCTAATCTCTTCTTTACAAATGATTGTGAAATCAAACTATCGTTGTATGAGTGGCTTGAATCTCCTTATGTGGAATTTCAAATGATGGCAACCAGTATGATGGAAAAAATTTAATAAGTATTGGAGCGATCTTCATGGAATTTTTGCTTTAGCAGCAGTGTTGGATCCGAGGTATAAGATGATGTTAGTTAAGTTTTATTATCCTTGTATTTTTAATCACAATGCTGCAAGTGAAATTGACAAAATATATCAAGTTTGTGGCAAGTTGGTGCACGATTATTAGAAAAAGAATGATTCAAGTGAGTCTTTAGCTCAGTCTTCTACTTCTTCTTGTCAAATCGAGACGTCCAGTGCTAATAATAAATCAAATCGCATGGCGGAATTTTATAAATTTGTTTCAAATGTTGAAGCTCCTAGTATTGTGAAAATCGAGCTTGATACTTTTTTGGATGAGCCTATATTGCCTCGATCGGATGATTTTGATATATTGACATGGTGGAAAGTGAATTCAATCAAATATCCGACTTTATCTCAAATTGTAAATGATATTTTGGCCATCCTGATATCTACTGTGGCATTCGAATATGCTTTCAGTACTAGTGGTAGATTTGTTAGTCCACACAGAAATAGACTTCACCCCAAAACTTTGGAGGCTTTAATGTGTGCTCAAGATTGGTTATGGGCCGATATTCACGGTACGATGTATAGAAACATTTGCTTTTTATATTGTTTCTTTTATGAATTTTCTTATTACTAATTATTTTATTTTATTAATAGCGAATTTCGTGCCATCTGCATATTTTGGAAGTTACTCCAAGATGAATGATGATGATGTTGATGAGGAGGTAATTTTATTTATTACATAATTTAAATTTTAATCATCGTTATTATGAATTTATGATGATATTGAGTATAATATTTATTTCGTTTTTCAGGATCCATCTTCTACAATCTCTGAACCTGCCGAAAAATGAAGTTATAAAGATGGAAAAACAACAAATTTAATTTTGGATAAAGAAGTGAAATTTAGTTACAATTTAATTGTATTCGTAATTGTTTATTTTCGGATATTGTTCGTTTAGAGTATTTAATTTGGCTGTTAACGTTTTTAAATTGTGAATTTGAGAGAAAAAAAAGATATGGGGCAGTAAACGGGGCGTGACCCCGCCCTGCCTGGTGGACCACAGGTCAGCTTACCATGGAGTATTGGGCCGACCCGCATTGAAAGATCTTTGAGCGGTCACCTCCATCCACTACTTGTGTATGAAGTTCCCAATTGAGCATGGGATTGCCACAGTGCGAGGCGACCAAATGGGCTCAAGGGCATGTTACCTCAATTCTCTACGAAAATTCGAGCCTCGCACCGTTAATGTCATTATAACAGAGGCCGACAACGAAGCGAACATGGACATTGAAATGCTTGACGTCCCTGAACAAGGGCATACCTCCGAACAAGAGAAAGATGTCGACATGATGGAGGTTCCTGAAGAAGGACACCCTCTTGATGAGTTAGAGCCCCGAATTATAGAGTCTAAACCGAATGCGACTCCAATGGAAGAGAAGAAAACTTTCCTCGTCAACCCTGAAGACCCCATTCAGGTCGTGTGGATAGGAAAAGCACTACCCCCGAGACGAAAGAAGAAATGATGAACTTACTAAAAATGAACCTGGATGACTTCGCTTAGAAGCATGAAGATATGGTGGGAATAGACTCAAGAATCAGTTGTCACCACGTTAACATCAACTTCTCTTGCACCCACATCGGCAGAAAAGACGAGTTCTCAACTCAGAGCTATATGAGACGTCAAAGAAGAAATCGATAAACTCAGCCGCAGCGGCTTTATCAGGGAATCTATCTACCCGAAGTGGATATCCAACCCGGTCCTCATAAAGAAACCCAGGGAAAAAAAGGAGAGTATATGTAGACTTCAGAAATCTGAACAAGGTATGTCCTGAGGACATCTTTCCTCTCCCAAGGATAGATCAATTGGTGGACTCCACTGCTGGGTATGAGCTCTTGAGCTTCATGGATGCGTACTCAGGGTATGACCAAATACTCATGTTCCGACCTGATGAGGAATCCACATCGTTCATCACAGACAGAGGATTGTACTACTATAAGGTGATGTCCTTCGGATTGAAAAATGCTGGAGTCACATATCAGAAGTTGGTCAACATGATGTTTGCCAAACTCATTGGCAAAACTATGGAAATCTACGTGGACGACATGCTGGTTAAGAGCCTCCAGGCGAAAGAACACGTAAGTCACCTCGACCGGACCTTTCAGATTCTTAGAAAGTATAAAATGAAATTGAACCCCCTCAAGTGCACCTTTGGGTAGCTTCGGGTCAGTTTCTAGATATATTGTGAACCAAAAAGGAATCGAGGCGAATTCGGAAAAGATAATGGCCCTACTAGAAATGAGGTCACCTTAGAAGCCAAAGGAAGTACAAAGCCTAAATGGTCAAATAGCCACACTCAGTCGCTTCATTTTCGGGGCACTAATAAGAGCCTACCCTTCTTCAAAGTCTTGAAGCAAGGAAAGAAATTTCAATGGACAAGCGAATGTGAAGAAGCCTTCCAGGCACTGAAGAAGCACCTGGGAGAGACACCCCTATTATCCAAGCCTCAACCACGAGAGCCACTACTGTTGTACTTAGCAATCTCAGACGAGGCTATCAGTGCAGTCCTTGTCAGAGAGGAAAACACGCATCAACTACCGGTGTATTATATTAGCAAGGCACTGCTCCCAGCAGAGGCACGCTACCCAGATATGGAGAAACTTGCACTCTCCCTAGTTACAGCATCGAGGAAACTGAGGCCATACTTCCAGGCCCATTCAATTGAAGTTCTCACCAACTCTTCCTTGAAACAAGTATTGTAAAGAACAGACGCTTCGGGCCATTTGCTAAAATGGGCAATCGAGCTCAGCGAGTTCGACCTACTTTTTCGACCCTAGAGTGCCATCAAGGGCCAAGCCCTTGTAGATTTCATGGCAGAGTTTGTCAAAGTCCCAGAAATGGAAGCGACAATGGAAACAACTGAGCCCCCAACATGGAGCCTATTTGTGGATGGATCATCAGGAGAGAATGGTTCCAGAGCAGGAGTTGTTTTGGAAAGTCCAGAAGGCCATAAGCAAAACTGCATAGTCAGGTTCGGCTTCAAAGCCTCGAACAATGCTGCAGAATATGAGGCCTTCCTAGTGGGCCTTAGACTAGCGAAAGAAATACAAGTGAAAAGGCACCTAGCAAGCAACGATTCACAACTTGTGGTAAGTCAGGTCAACAAAAGGTTTGCAGCCAAAGACACTAGCATGACTGCATATCTGAAATTGGTTATGAATCTCATCCTTCACTACGAGAGATTCAAATTGGTTCAAGTCCCATGCCTAGAAAATACACACGCTAACGCCCTATCCAAGTTGGCCAGCAGCAGGGATTCGAAGTTGCTAAAAATTGTCCCAATTGAGCGCTTGCTGAAGCCTTCCATCTCTGGAGGCAAAGAGGTACTATGGATTGAAGGCATCCCACTTTGGATGCAACCCATCGTAGCCTACCTCAAAGATCAATCGCTGCCAGCCTCAAAAAACGAGAGAAAAAAATTGAGAAGGAGAGCTGCTCACTTTGTTCTCCAGGACGATGTGCTCTACAAAAGGGGCTACACCTCGCCACTTCTCTGATGCGTAGGAGGGGAAGAAGACATGTACATACTCAGGGAGATCCATAAGGGAGTCTACGGTAATAATTCCGGAGGAATAGCTTTGGCACACAAAGTTCTTCGATAAGGCTACTTCTAGCTGACCCTGAAAAATGACTCTTACCAGTCTGTTCAAAAATGTGACAAGTGTCAACATTTTTCAAACATTCAAAGTCAGCCTTCTCAAAGCCTCTCCATGGTCAACTGCCCGTGGCCGTTCGCCAAGTGGGGCATAGACTTCATTGGCCCACTACCAAAAGGAAGAGGAAGCGCTACTTTTGCCATTGTTGCCATTGACTGCTTCACAAAGTGGGTGGAAGCTAAACCTCTAGCAAAAATCACTGAAGCGAACACCACAAAGTTCGTCTGGAAAAATATTATTTGCAGGTTCGGCATTCCTCACTCTCTAGTATCTAATAACGACAGGCAGTTCGACAACAGATGTGAGACTTGTGTGATGAACTCAGCATAAGGAAGGATTTCTCAACACCTCATCACCCCAAGCAAACGGGCAGGTTGAGGCAGTGAACAAAACTATCAAGCATACCCTGAAAAAGAAGTTTGACGCCTCAAAAGGGGTGTGGGTCGATGAACTTTCCCATGTCCTCTGGGCCATTCGAACAACCAGTCGAACTGCAACAGGTGAGACACCCTTCTCCATGACCTACGGATCCGAAACCATGAGTCCTGTCGAGGTGGGTGTCCCCTCCCATCGTTGGATACATTTCACTGAGATCGATAACGACGAAGCTCGAGTGCCTAAACTTCACCTCCTTGAAGAAAGGAGGGCTTCCTCTCAAATAAAATTGGCAAAGTATCAAAGAAAAATGACCCGTTATTATAACTCTAAGGTCAGAAATCGAACTCTTCGTCTGGGGGACCTCGTCCTCAGAAGGGTCTTCCAATCATCAAAGTCGACTGGGTCCGGAGTGTTTGGATAGAACTGGGAAGGTCCTTATCGCATCCGCAAAGAGTCCCGACCCAGCACTTACGAAATAGAAGACATGGCAGGGAAGGTATTGCCTCATCAGTGGAACATTGAACACTTGAGAAAATACTATCAGTGAAGTGTATATTTAGATCCGATCTCCATATTATTCAGTCTATTGTAACATTCCTATCTTGCTAAGTGCTAGAATTGCCTTAGTAAAATATAATGTAACGATTTAATCATCCACTCTGTTATATGGGTTAATCAATTGGTGCCTCAGTTATTCAGTAGATTTTAGGTGTCAATCTCAGGTAAGTGATGCTTAATGTTTATTTATCCATTACTCATCAAGATAGAAACAGTTCGACGTAAAAGTAAATTAAGAAGAAGCAACAACATGGGAAAACTTTGATCTCATTAATATCAAAACAAGTTACAAAATGAGGGCCGAAGCCATTACAATGTATTCCTATTCAACTCGGGGGGCTTCGGTCCCGACCTCCGGCTCGGCCTCTGGAGGGGCTTCAGTAGCTTCCTCGACGACCTTGTCAGATCAACCCCCGGTAGGCCCACCGAACTTCGCTTCCAAAGAAGTTAAATCCAGAGTAGGATGGATCTCCCTTAGGCGATCCAACATTGCCTGGGCGTTCCACGAGGCCCAGAAGTTGGCAAAGTCATCGTACAGCGAATGCTCTTCAAAGTGATCGATCAAATTCTGCTGACTCCCCTGCCGCCTTCACCTCGGCTTTCAGAGATTCGATCTCCTCGGCCAGGGCCTCCGCCCATTGCCTCAGCTCGGCCTTCTCTTTATTGGTGGCCTCCAGAGCCTCAGTGACGAGCCGGTGGTGCTCATTAGCATGATCAATCCTCCTCATCATAGCAGTCACCTGGCACTCCACTTCATGTAGCTCCTTCTTCAGCATCTCCACTTCTACATTGGACCTTGCCTACTGGCCCTCCGCCTCCTTCGCCTTTGCCTCGGCGGCTCGCACCGCATTCCTATAGTGCATCGCCTCCTCCAGGTGTTTAGCCAGATCCTCCCTCCTAGCGTCGAGGTCTTTGACCAAGGTCTAAAGTTGAACGCTCGTGCTCAGAGCCCAGGCGATGCAAGCACTGTTGGCAGCCACCAGGTCTTCGACAGTACAGGATGCCGTGTGGTCTTTCCACTTCTCAGTCCAATACTTGTTATGGACCAGGGCAACGAGCCCTCTTCCTTCTCTTCCGCCCCGGCACTTGTGTGATGGGGATGACAACAACCAGGGACGGTCGGGACAGCAGCAGTGGCAGTAGGGGCCGCCGTTCTATCCTTTATAGCCATCCCGATGGGAATTGTTGTTTGACGAAGGATCAGGACAACCCTCGCCACTGTGGGCCCCTTCGACGAACTGGCAGCTCTCTTCCCCTTTCTCTAGAGAGCTTCCTCTGGATCCTCCTCCTCCTCCTCTGCTGCAGGTTGGAGCTGCTAGCTCGCAGCCACTAGGTTCTTCGTTTCCTTCTTATAAGCAAAGGAGGAGGTCTTCAGGGCCCTTGCCTCAGCCATCATCCACTGGATAGTCTTGAAGTCGGGCCTCACCGACCTCTTCTTGTTAAAATCGTCTATAGTAAAACAAACTAGATTGGCACAAGTACAATAAGTTCGAAAACAAATTACAATAGGTGCATTCCAGATAGTTACCTTGGGAGGCCATCAGTTCGTGCGCAACAAAGTGCCTGTTTTTCTTGATCAGCTCGTGATAGGATCTCCTCTTCAGTGGGAGTTGATAAACAATGCAAATTATGTCAAACGCCTCAGTGGATATCTCACACCGAGGAAGAGTGCCTGCAAACAACAAACACAGGTCAGGAACCGAACAGAAGCTCGAAAGAAATTCAAACACGGGGCGTCAACACTCATTAAGCGATGAATACTTAGTTGGAATTGTGAGGGGTGCCAGGGGGTCCCCCTCCATCGTGTCCCACCTTCCAAAGGCCCAGCCCCATGACGTCTTCCAATCCTTTATTGAGCTTGGCAGGTCTAGGACAAATGGAGTGTGGGCTCGCCAAGAGGTTAAGTACTACTACCCCCTAGTCTTATCTCCCCGGCCACCACTTTGGGGGTTGAGGGTCTGGAAAACCGAAAAAGGCATCTCCTCCCCAAGAGACACCTCCTTCCACAACATCCATGAGCCCACCATCTGGCTCCAGGAGTTCGAATTTAATTGGGACGAAGCTAACCCGTATAACCTAAGGACACACCGGAAGAAAGGGTGGATAGGCAACCAAAGTCCAGCCCTAAAGAGAGCTTCGTTCACAGCTACACACCCCGGCCTAGGGTAACAGGCTCACTCATCGAGCTCCGACAATATAAGGTCTATGCTATCAGGGATTCTATACTCTGCTCTAAGTCTACCCAGGTTGGGCTCTCTTAACTTCGATGGGTAGTCAGAAGCCCCCCAATGTTCTGACATATCTACTGGGCTATCAGGCCTCCGCTAGATGTTTCTCCCCTTTATTATGGCCTCAGTTACCTCACTGGACGTCGTTAATATAGGCTCATCCACCCGAACTACGTCGAGCTCCCTCCCCAAAGCGTTACTACTCTTAGAAGCCACTAGAATTCAAAAATAACGCGAAGAACTGGAAAAATACTTACTGAAACGAATGGGTTGGGGTTTTCTACGGTCGAAAAATAACAGATGACCCTTTGTACTCGTCGAAAACAGAGAATATCACCGAAAAACGCTCGAAACTTATCGGAAATCGCCAAAAAATCTGAGAGCAATACTGATTCTGAGTTTGCAAAGGTGAAAACGTCCGACTGGCACTAAGTCTCCTTTTATAGGAAACCCCAGATGATCCCCACCTTTGAATTCAAATGATATCCATCTAGACCGTTCATCTCGTCACAAATCTGGATCGTTGAAATGAAATGTCGAATTTGATCAATGCCCAAGATCTTACAGTGCCCCTCACGCACGCATAAAACGCGTCGTCTCGAACAAGCAATAGCTGTCAGCAATAAGTAATTGCAGCAGCCCTTTCCTGGGGATGGGCATCACATCCAACCGTGGCCTTGAAAATACATGATAGCAATCACATCGATTAGCGTCATCATAAGGCACTTTAAATCAGAGATAATCCTTCCCAATTCACCTCGGATGAATGCACTCCCCAGCTTTAAAAGCTTCGGCACAACTGATGCGGAATCCCCTGTGGGTCACTGTCTCGATCACATGATTCCTCAGCTTTGAAAGGCATTAGCAATCTCACAACGCGTCGTCCCCTATTGGTTAGCGCACCGTCGGTAGATGAGCCCTTCATCTAGCCTCAAAAGCCTCGGTGCTACTAACGCAGAGTCCTCTGTGGATCACCACCTCTGTCACACGACTCCTCAGCTTTGAAACTCGTTAGCCATCTCCCAACGCGTCGTCCCATGTGGATCAGCGTACCAGTGGTAGATGAGCTCTTCACCTAACTTTGCAAGCGTCGGCGCAACCCAGAGGACGCCCCACCCACATCACCTCAGTTATCACTCGCCTCAACCAACATGTGTTCGGTACATCTGCTCACTTCACCCTTTTATGCCAGTACCTCATCAGAATCCACAGTCCTTACTCCAAGGCTGGCATACACAGTCGGGAAAACAAGTTCACCCATGATATGAATATTCATACCTGAACTTGGAGGGACCACTGTTACGTCCCTAACCAAGCCACTTAAACTTCGGTACTAAAACCACTTCGACACGAGGTCACATCACTCTTTGAAGCACCACGCGCCTACCTGAAGTGGTTCCGGAGAGATGCCAATTCCTGACAACCTTAACATGACGCGCTGTAAGGTGAATAGATCCAATGAAGCAATCGAAGTGTCCCTCAACGTCGAAGCGTTGAAGGGCCCGATGTACTCCCTTAACAGATCCCTCCTCCGCCCCTGTCAGAAAGATATCTATCAGGATCTTGACGTGACATCTCCATACATCTAGTTGACATGATACATCAACTTTATGTCAACTCAACTTAGAAGACCTAATTGCCCGCCTATGCTAGACGCAGCTGAGTGGCGCCTATGAG